CAAATGAAATGTTTTTAAACTGAAAAGCACAAACGTGTCTGTCATAGTGAACTACCGCCGCCCACTATCGCCTACCTATCGTTTCAGTACTAGTCCATGATGCAGTCAGGAACAACTGATGTGTTTCCACATTTCAGATTTAAACATTTTAACATTTATTCGTCATTTTTAAACACAAACAGAAAATATGTTCACCTTTTTTATATTCTTGACCTACAGTTGATTCAGAATTTGTAAGTGTATAAATATTGTTAATGAAAAAGGTCCGACAGAACCACTAAAGCCTGGGTGGAAAACAGTTTTAATATTTTAAGGCTATGAAATCCCAACAGAGAGAAAACAGTCTAAAAGTATTACCTGAGAACAGGAAGAGACCAAATGAAGTTATTAAAACCAAATAAATAGAACAAGAGTAAAAAGTCAACCTGCTGCAGGAAACAGAAACAGGAACTTTCAGTTCTTCTTAACTACAAACCAAATACAAACTTCCTGCTGAAAATGAAACGCTTTCAATAATTTCGTCTCTGAAAAACTATAACGTAATGAGTAAAAGTCCAGCCGCTCCTCGTCCACTCACAGCTGGGTTTGTGAATACCGTCAGGATTGCCTCTGTAGAAGTTAAAACCTCCAGAGTGTCTGTCTGATCGGTGAAAACCAAAAAGTCAGCTGGATACTTTCTGCCCCACAAGTTCAGATCGCAGATAATTTTTTGCATTTTGAAGGAAATATGGATGCGTTGTTTTTTGCAGATGAGGTGAAATAAAACGACATATTTGAGGTTTGAATAAAACACACGAGACAGAAAAGACGTTTCTGCTGTTGAGCCTGGGTGCCGTTTTAGCCTTAAACCAGTCAGAAATCCAGCCAGTCACATTTAAGGTAAAGAAACTCAGCTGATGGAAGATAAAAGAAGCGCTAAACATTAGTGGAAGCAACTATTCTTTGTCTCTTTAGACCGAACCCAAACACACGTTTTCTGTATGAACACTCAAACCTAGAAACAAGCAACCCGAGAGGAAGCTGGGGTGAAAATAAAAGCACGTGATTGTCAGAGCAGGTTAACGGGAATCAGAAATGTGCTGTGGAACAACCATCTCCATAACATTCGGGAAGGGAAGCAGCGAGGCTTTCACAGTCAGGATTTTCATAAGAGAGTCAGCAAGTTTCACTTTGTTCTTCCTCCCAAACGGACAAAACGATTGACAAATACGAGTTTCCAATGGCAAAAGAGACAAAAATGTAAACAGTGGCTAACTCTGTAAAGACAATTCTCTCTTAAGACTGAAGACGAGAGTCCGGGTTCACCAGGAGGATCCTCGTTTCTTCCCAGAGACTCTCTGATATTCACGATTTCTGGGGAGAAATGACAGATTTTCCCTGCTTTCGTCTCAGACTTTGCAGCCACTCTGAAAGTGCCTCTAAAGTGAGAGGAAGAAAAACCAAGAGGAAACATTTCAGCCCAGGATAACGGTGCAGAAGGGATGCTCCCAACCTCTAAAACACGAGAACTTTCCAGCCGGAGTGGGCAAAGGAGCAGCCGAAGTAGAGGCAGTCCACGGCCTGGTCCACCAGCCAGTCGGACACCACCTCCCGGTTCCCAGAGCCAATCGTCACCCTCAGCTTGAAGTTCCCCCCCTCGCTCAGGTTGTTGTTGCTGATGGGGAACAGGTTCACCACCTCCATGTCGAAGGTCACAGAGGAGCCTACGGTGATGGCGGGCAGTTGGTTGGTCATCTCTTTACCGTTGACAAAAACAGCTCCTGAAACGGGGACGTGAATCTGTCAGGGCTCCTGCACACGTTCACTCACTAACCCTACCAACCAGCATGGACACCAGCACTGGTGTGTGTGTGCACTTGAAGGCACGCTTGGCAGTTTTTCTTGCCTTCAGCACGCCCGGTGTCCGTTATTATTCTCTGTGGTCAAACTGAAAACAAAACCCATCTCTTCGCTGTGCGCTTGCCTTTTTAACACCTCACTCTAACAGCTGAAACATCTCCCAGCCTACCTTGGGTTCTGCAGGAGGGATTCATCACTAAATTACACAAATCAGCTGTGTTTACGGTCTAAAACATGCTGGAAGCAGAGTGCAGCACCAGTTGTGTCAGTTCCAAGTCCAAATGTGGTGTTCTGGCCACAGAGGGCGGTGGGGTCTGAGTGACATTTCAGTAACCATGTAAAGGCTCATTTTAGCACATACTAGCTTAAGAAAATGATGGCTTTTAAATCAAGATGATAAATGTTTCTCACACAGGTACAAAACTGCTGTTTCCTCACGTTAAAACTGATACTTTTAATATTTTAATAACTACATTACAACAAAATAATCCTAGCTTAAACTACGACAACAACAGTGGGGTAAGATTGTAATAATAAAGAGGCATCTCCTGTAATCTACTCAGATTAAAGATTATTAAAAGCCAAAAAAAAAAAACCTCATTCTAAGATCAGCAGTAATATTAAACAAAGCATGAAAAATGACAACAAACACGGGTTGTTTAGAAGACAAACAAAGAAACGAGGAGTCGTGCAAGCCCATCAGACCGAGTGTGTGTCAGTGTACCGTTGGTGGAGATGCACACAGCCTGGTCTCTCTGAAGTGACTCCTCCCCCTGCAGGGTGTTGATGCACACCCCCAGACTGTCCCGACGGTCCATCAGACCCAAAGCAGTGATCCTGCAGATGAGAGGCGAGTTTAGAAAATGTTCAGAGTCTAGGATGAGAAGTGCCCAGGTGAGCGTGCCTGAAGGTCAGCGTCTGGCCACAGAAGTAAGTGGGAGCGTTGGAGTAGAGGACGGGGCAGCGGTTCTGGCAGGAGTCGTTACGCAGAGCGATGTTCTTCCTGCTGCTCAGGATGAAACCCTCAGTCCCAGGACGCCACTCTGCATCGTAAAAGAGGTCGTTAATGGTCTCCTTCAGGTAGAACATCTAGAGGAGAAACATCTGCTCAGGTTTGGGAGTCATTCACAACTCATGACATTACTTCCCTTTTCTGTCACAATTTTACCCACAAATGTGCGATTTATGCTCAGAAACACAACTTCTAACACTGGAAAGCATCTGTGAATGTATTTGTCAGAATGAGTTTTGAGTGTTGTTTTGGCTGAAATGTCCACAGAGGGGTCCTGGTCCCAGCGTAGGGACCCACTGGGCTGTAGCTCATGGCGATGTGCTCTCTGACACTCAAGAGGCTTTCCTGAACCACAAGTACAACTAAAAATTGAGATTTTATAAATTCGACTCCTCAGCGGATGGACCATGACCCACCGTGTGGCGCCAGCGTGGTGTAACCCGTCTGTGGGACGCTCCAGGGGCTCCACTCAGTGCGACCCTCCCCGCGAGCGCAGACCCTAAACAGATAATCGACGTGTGGATCCAGATGGAGAACCAAGAACTCGCAGTCCCACCCAATGTAGGCATCTTCATACTGGCTCCCTCCGCTGCCTGATCGTCGGTACTGTACCCGGTAATCTGCTGCTGCAAAGTCCTCGTCCACCTGAAGCAGGAGGTAGAGTACTCGTGTTAAAGTGCACCCTCTAAAGTTCTGTAATATTCTTGTGAAAAAGCTTATTCCAACCTTGCACCAGCGGACTAGGATGCCGCCAGGTCTCTCCTGCAGCTCCTCTATCAGGACAGGCGGGTGGGAGGAAACAGAACCGTGACGGGAAACCCGTTCCCTCAGCAGACTCAGCAGGGAGTCATCGAGCTGGGCTGAAACACACGGGACGTCCACCAACGCTGGAACCTCTGGCAGGCTGGAAAGACACACAACAGTGATGTTTAATGTGCCCACTGGTCCTGACGGAAGGGATAACAGAACTGTGTCGGTCCCACCTGTCCAGCTGGATGTGCACGGCCTTCTTGGTGAAACTACCCAGCTTCTCCTCCTTCTCTCCCAGACCACAACGCAGCGCTGCTTCTCCTGCAGACACATCACAGCCTTACAGATGTTTTCAGTCTCAGCGCAGAAAACACAAAACAACCAGGAAAAATCTGTAAAGTTACTTTTACTTTCTTTAAAATCAGACAGAAAAAAACACATTTCCTGTTTTCTGGATCAGAATAAAGAATTCCAACTTTTCAGGCTGAAATATTCCATAATCCTTGTATCTGTCAAGGTTTTCCTGTCTTTTCCTTCTCCAACACTTCCAGGACGTCACACGATGAAGCGTTTCAGGTGTTGTTTTGTCCTTTTCTTACAGCAAACATGTCTGAAGATGTCCAACAGTGAAGTCTAAGCTTTTACCAAATTATTCCAATAATCAGGGTAAGAAAGGAATAACGAGTTTAGTTCCTGTAACCTTTTCTGTCCTCTGTCCTGAAAACAGAGAGCTAACTAACCTTCTCTCAGCAGCTCGTCCGCCTGCCCCACGCCGTGTTCAATGAGACTCTGACAGTCGTCCAGAGGCTTGATGCTGCCAGCTTCTATGGTGTCCACCTCAGCCAGCAGGCTGGCCTGTCGCTCCGCCAGCAACCGGCTCGCTGCAGCCTGCAGCTCTGCAAAGTGTCTGCGCAGAGCCTCGCGGGCCTGACCGGAGCTGCCTCGGATCTGGAGGAGAGGGAAAGGACAAGGTGAGGAAGACTTCCCCACTCACCTTCTGTTTGTTTCAGACATTTATGGAGAAATTTGCTCAAACGTGTTCTCAACTAATGTCGCGAGTCCTGGCCAGTCAAGGCTTAGAAACAGTGGTCAGAGACAAGGGTCACACAAGGGTCAAGAGGACAATAGTTCAGGACTTGCTGGCGAGGACAGAACTGGGCAAAGGGTCAAAAGGCAGGCTGGCTTCTCTGGATCCACCCATGGGCCCGCCCCTAACTCCACCTCTGGCGGGAAAAGAAGGACTGGAATGGAGTGAAGAAAGTCCATCTGGACCCAGAAGTTCTCAGGAATGCTGAAGGAAGATCTACAATTTGCTACCAACATGAAGATTTATGGCCTGTGCTCCCTTTCCAGGAGTGCAACATGAACTTTTGTGCCCTCATGTGAATACTGCATGTAGTGAAAATGATACCAAATGCCTTATGTAGAGCTAAAAAAGTGTATTTGGTAAATGACCCCTTGACCTAAACTGTCAGGAGAGAATGAATTGTGACTCTTTCATTGTTTAGAGCAGTCTCAGGAATGATATAAAAGGATGCAGCTCAGATCGGGCTGGGAGACTTGGGAGCTGTTTTGGGGAGATTCTGAGAAGACAAGAGCTGGTGTAAACTAACTCTTATTTAATCATTTTGAACAAATTCCTCCTTGGGGGATAGCAGTTGTTTTTTATTTACCCATTTTTGTATTTTTGATTTTGTAATAAACCTTTTTTGAAAAAGAAACATAATCCTGATTCTTTCAGGTTTTCTCTAAAGCTTCACGTTTGGGGCCCTGGCCATAAATTGCACAGAGGTAAGCTTGTCGATCACAGGTCTCTGAATTATCAGGACTTACTTTGCAGTTTGTAAATGAATAATATAAAGAAACCTTAAGATAAGGGAAGTTTTAACTTCCCCCTCCTTGCGAGTAACGAGTTGTCTTAAGGGCGATAAAAACAGATTATTAGAGGTTATTTTGGCTCTGATTGCAGGTTGAAAAAGTCTCTAACAGCTGGAAGGTTGGATTAGTAAATAAATTGATAAACTTATGATAGTCTGATCAACTAGCATAAATCATTTTATAGTTACCAACCTCCCACATAAGCTGTTAGAGGCGCAATTAATTCCAGATAACCCAAAAAATGGCTGAGAGGCGTGGCTTGCCTCCAGACTTCTCTCTAGTATCTTAACCAAAAGGTAACGAGTTTAAAAGAAGTGGAATACTCTGAGGCTGGCTATTCGTACAAGTCATTTCACCTTTAAAATAAAAGACAAGATTCTAATTAGGTGGTCCAAACCCGGATTTAATACGATAAAACTCGCCGATATCCCCCCGAACCCTGATAGATGCACCGTCTCATAAGTTCTAAAGGAACCGGTAAATGGGACGGGCACGCAACATGGCGCACCAACGTGGGGCTACAGAGCGAAGGTACAAATATTAAATACCGGACTATCCGACGTAGAACTATGTCTTTTAGGCTGATAAAAGCTTACGCACCATGGACCTGTTAAGCTTATAACCTTGGAGTGAAAACCGCACCAATTTCTCGAAAAGGAAAGAAATTTGGGAGAACGGACGATTAACTCAAAGAGGTATAAAGAAATCACGGCTTTCCGACGTAAGAATAGCCAAGGATAAAAGCTAGCAAAAAAATAATAATAAAAAGGAATAAAGAGTAAGAATAAAGAATAAGACGTGAGAACGAATAAAAATAAAATAAATAATAAAAAAGAGAAACTTTCAACCAGCCATGGCAGATAGATCTTTAACGGTAAAACCAGAAAATGTTCTCCTTAATGTGAGATTTGTCACCGGAGAAATAGCGACATTTCAAGGTGAACCACAAAGCGTTTTGGCAATATCCTGTAACCGGAGCTTTCAGAACGAGGCCGGCACAGCTCAAGCCGCAGCGGAGCGCTGTCCGAATGCTGAAACTCAAGTAAAAAATAATCATGTATTTCCGTTAGTGGGTGATTTAGTGATTCTAGCAGAACAACAAAATGATCCTGTTTTTAATCAGATAGCGTGGTGTTGTTGGGAGAATCCAGTGAAACTCCCCACGGGCGAGCAATATGAGATCCTTCTGGGATTTCTTGAGCAAATACCAACTGGACCGGAACCTTTAGTTCTCACTCCATTTGGAGTCGGGCAGTACCGATGTGATCCGGGAGCGATGTACTCTGCTATGGCGGAGTTCGTGGTTCAACAGGCTAATAGTAGAACAATTTACTTCTTATCTAGAAGCAAAAATGAGGCAATTCAAATGAGACAGGCGTTATGTAACCGACTGGGGATCACGGAGCTCCAAGCGGAAATGTATCGGAGAAGAGCTGCAGTCGAAATGTCGGCCTCCTGGGATGAAGTCCAATCGGTTCCGACCGCGCCCCCTTTGTATCCAGCGCTCCGCGGGGAATTCCCTGTGAGCCCCGGTTCCGAGAGCAGATTTCCTCCACCCCCACCGAACCCGCCTGACGCGGTTCGGCCGGCGCAGTGGAACCCGTTTCTACATGTACAAACCCCTTCTCAGGTGCCGATGAGAGGAGCGGAGAGATCGCCCACTGAACAGCATGTTGCTACATGGGAGAAAGACGAGACTCAGAGACGGTCAGGGGCTGAAAGGACTCCAAACCCAATTCCTTTTCCCCCGTTAGATCCGAATAGTCCAGCGGCTCCCCCGAATCATGTTATGATAGGTCAAGAGCCGGTGATAATTTTATCAGGCGAGAAAATAGATGCGGAGATCCGAGAGGAAGATGTGTTGATCTTTCTGAAAGATCCACAAAGTTCTGCCGGTACCACGTCCTCTTTAAGTTCTCTGAGGAGACTTTTAGGGGCAGAAAGCAGAAGCTCTATGATCCCGCTGGTAGATCGTAACTACGAAGCTGGAGAAATTACTACTCTCTTAGACAAGCAATTAGGGAATCTGGAAGGTCGTGTCAGCGCAATTTCCATAATTAACGTAGACCCTCATAATCCCGACATCTCTTTTCACCAAGCTTGGGAGCGGGTGGTGTCAGAAGCCTTGGATTTAGGGGCGCGACGGCTAGTGTTTAAGCTTAATAATAAACCCCAGGTGTGTCGGATAACTGAAGCATATGGTGCAGGTTTGGTGATTTATTCCGAAGCCTCTAGCAGGCTAGGAGACATTCCGGTTGTAATTTTAGTGGATAAATCAGCCTTGCCGCGAGTAGAGAAGAAAGTCAAACATTGGTTTGAGGCCAGAGACAGAAGCAGTGAGAGTGAAGCTGAATCGGAGGAAGAACAGGGTTCCCAATTGGTGGTGCGTGGCACACCCAAAGGGACGCTCAGGTCAGAATGCGGATCCCAACAAAAATGCAGCACTCGGATCCCTGGAAGCAAAACACCTGAAAAAGTGAGTTGGTTATCCCCAGTTACAGCCCATGAGCAAGATGAGAACAGAGAAAATGTAGAGCAGCAACCCCAGAGAGCAGAAAAAGGAGATGAGACAAATCCTATAGTTTATGGCATTAGAGGACTAAATAAGAAAAGCCGTCCAGTACAGATGAAATATTATGACCCTCAGGCACCTCCTAACATAGGCCCAGTTAGACCGGTTCCAGAACCAGGACGAGGCCAGTTTGCAATTAATACAGAGGGAGACCAGAATTATGCAGGAGAAGAAGCAGAAAATCCTTTTCCAGACTGGTACCCTGTAGATGGCTTCACGGCTTCAGCAATTCAAGCAGCAAAGAGTAGGGAAGAAGTCATGTTGCAATCAGGATGGGGGCAACCTTTTAAGCATGCTTATTTGGGACAAGGATATGATTTTTATCGAGGTGGATGTATGGCTAGAGATTCGGCAGTGAGAACTCACTGCTATTCGCCGTGCAGCCCCTCCCAACCTTTGGATGCAAACCGAAGCACTCCGCAGATAGGACAGCTTAATTCAATGCCTAAGGAAAGAATCCTAGAACAGGAATATTCCCCATATTGGCAAACTGCTCAGGAACAGTCAAGAGTAAGCTTAGGACATTTTGATCATACCATCCTGCCACAAAGAGCATCGGGTGAGACAGACGCTGGATATGTACAGAGACTTCAGGATCGAGGTATGACGATTGAACAACTTTCAAGTCCAGAGATTTCTCAGGTTATAGCATTAAAGAACGATCTGCGTTTAACCCCAGGAGCCTCGCTGATGTCCTTGGCGGAGAGTTATCCCAGAGGGATTGGTGAGGATTCTGGTGAACGACGGAGGAAAGCTTTAAGCGCTGAAATCAGTACAGGAAAAGTTACATTAGCTGGGTGTTTGGGAACAATCGCAGGGCTTTCCCAAGTACAGCAGGAAAAACTTTTAGCTGATCTGCCCGGGGGATTAATGATGGCGGCGATGTGGCCTAATCTCTCTCCTGCAGAAAAAATCCGACAAGCACAGGCGTGGGATCGCACGAGGGAATTTAAGCAGTCAAAAAACGAATTAGGACGGCATGCCGGAAACAGATTGAAAGGTCAGATACCATCCCCTCTGCCCCCTCCACACCAACAGCAAGGGAGCCAATCAGTGAGCTCTCAACCGAGGCAACTCCCACCCAGGACAGAACCGAATCAGAACCAGAGAACCAGGGGCCAAATGGACCCGAATGCAAGGCCGTTTTTCATGGGACCCCCCGGCTGCCCTGTGGCTCGACCCAGGAGAGCGAACCCGGAGGAGTGGGCCCGGATGACCAAAGAACAGAAAGAAAAATTTATCCAATCTATCAAAGATTGGGACGCGAAATACAACAATCAGAGAAACCGACCACCACCACAACAAAAGTAGAAATAATTGAGGCGCTCTCATCTCATACGCATTGGGATGGAGAGTGGCTTAAAGTAAAATACGAAAATACAAAATACATTTTAGATACCGGGGCATTAATATCAGTAAAGCGTGAAAATAATCCGATGGAACAAATAGGATGCAAGAATGTGATACTCGCAGACGGCTCTGTACGTAACATGGCAGT